GGGGGGGGGTAACCGACAACACACGGCAGCGATCCGCCGATAGAGCACGGCGCTGGGGGGATGCATGGGCATGCACATCGCGGAGCAGCACAAGACCCGCGCGCCGCGCATGCCGCCGCTGCAATCTCATAAACAGCACGCAGGGCGCATGTGCGGCAGAGGAGAGTTGGGCGGGAGACGGATGCGCGATGGGTGTGGAAGAGTATTCGGGGAGTGAGATCAATCTAGATTGACCATACAGGTTGGTTGGTCCAGTCCTGAGACCCCTTCCTTCATCTCGCTTATACTGTACCGGATGCAGGCGTGCGGGCGGGTTGCATACTAGCACGGGGCCATAAAGCACCGGTGAGCGACGGTGGGCCAGACCGCCCGCACGCCTGCATGCGGAACAGTATAAGCAAAAGAAAGGGAGGGGTCTGTGGACCACCCTGTAGATGATAATTATCATCCTCTGATAAAGCTTGGCGACTGCAAGTAAGTAGGAGTTCCCCAGCGGGTGCCTGTGGCGTTGGCGCCTCACTGCGAGGCTCCTTTTGGCCTCCGTTTCTGTGTTAAATGTGTACATAGGCGAGCGAATTTGGTGTATACTTGTGAGATACCTTGTACTAACAGTGTACTCGAGACGTTACAGTCCTGGTGAGTGCATCATATGGGCCCAGGGCGACGCAAACCGGATGCGCGCGATGCGTCCGTCTCGTATCCAACACGCCGTAAAAGCTGCAAGTAAGCACGAGAGAGAATGACCTCCCCCAAGGAGGCCGTCGTCGCGTCGGGGGGGGAGGATCGAGGGTGGTAGCGCACCGCGCCCTTCAGGAAGTCGCCGAGGAGCCGCCGCGGGTGCTGCCGGCCGGCGGGGCGCGCGCCAGCCGCGTGCCGCGCCATGCTCCGGTGCGCCGGACCGCCGAAGGGTCACGGTCCGAGGGGCAAAGGAGCTCCTCCAGCCTGCGTCAGCCTGCGTCAGCCGGCCAGAAAAGTGCCACTACGCTCTCGGCGCTGGCCGCTCTGGCTATATGGCCCGCCACCGCAGCAGCTGGGGTTGGGCCGGGACTGGGCTAGCCCGCTCCCGCGAGGGCGAGAGAAAGAGAGAGGGAGCCACTGTCGACAAACCGCTCACCTGTCACGGGTACGAGAGGTTTGTGCATACTTCGGCACATCAAGTGCGTTTTTAAAATCAAAGTGCGCCAACATCGACGTTTTAAGAAATTATGCTCAAAGCAAAAATTACAATTTTTAAGTAGTGGTGTATGTAAAACCAACATTGGCCGTTAAAAAAATTGGGTGTCGCAAAAATGACAATGTGCCGTGATTTTGGGAGGGCTTTTGATACATTGCAAGATGTGCTGATCCAAATTGTGTCCTCGAATAGTTGGATTTATTTTTGTTCCCACCCCAATCCGTGCGTTTTCCTACTGCGCTACACTTCCCCATACTTGCCGTCTTGGAAGGTGCCCCCCATACCGTCTTCAGTGAGAGGTGAGGGGAAGGGGGAGGGAGGGTGGTAACGTCGGATGCTCGGTCGGTGCGTATGGCTCGGGCGACGCTCGCCGCTCACCCCCGCGTGTCACGGCTCGTTGGGGTCATTTTAACGGCTGGTCCGACGCACTCGTCCCGAACGCGACGCGACGCACCGTATGGATGTGCGGCGCGCGGCGCCGCGGTGCGCCCCCGGTCAACGCAGGCAGTGCAGTGAGTATAGTACTTACTCCCGAGCACAGCAAGTCCTGAAAGGGCAGGGGGCGATGTTTGGGAGATGATGATTAATTCAGCAGAGCTCTTGGAGAAAAATAAAAAAGAAGGGGGGGAAATGTGTTAGTGCGGTAGGGTCAGTGTTTGCTGTGTGCCTCTGTTGCGCTGTACGCTGCGCCGCACCAAACTAATTTCCTAGCTTGAAGCGTTCCCACAGGATTTAGGTATGTTGAACTCGGGCCAAACACGGCGGGCGAACAGGTCGTCCATTGCATTATAGAACGGGGGACTCCACCCCTCCTCCCCCCTCCCGCTCCCCTCAATCCACCTCCACTCTGTATAGAATGGCGAGAGGCCCCCCGCCCCTGCCTCCTCCTCCTCCCCATGTCCTCATCTGATCCATCTCATCTCCCGATCCCTCTAATCTAGTTTGAAAAGTGGCCGACGCCCTTTCGGTAACGCGAGCCGCGCGGCGCGGTCCGTCCGTCGCGCGGCGTCCCCCGCCGTCCGGCAGCTGCAGCTGCGATGGGGGCATATCGAAGCGCCCCCCCCCCTATTTTTCCATCTCTCAGGGCCCCCGGTGCGCCCTGCCAAACTGCGAATAAGAAATAAGGGCCGCCCTGTCGCGGGGCAGGCCACTCCATCACCGCGCCCCGCAGCCTTGGTATGACAAACTCCCCGGCCCGCAGCCCGCAGCCCGCGCGCCCAGCCCGCCCCGCGACCGGCAGCACCTGGTCCTCCTGGTCGCCGTGCGCCGCGCCGGTGCGGGAGAGGACCGTACACAAATTACGTCAGTTTTCAAAAGAGATTGGGGTAATCTTCTTTTTCCCGCGCCGCGCTGATCGCTTAATGCGAGTTTAGAGTTGACGCGATAATAACGCAAGCCTTTTTAGACGCCTGCGGTAAAGATGAGAGAACGTTACTTTACAGGGATTATTTATCCGCATTGTGCGACCCCCGAATGTTGCAGTGCGGAGTGCAGTAACTAGAAAACAATCCTCAACGGTGAGAAAAAGTACACAGTAAGGCGTTCAAAATTGAGACACCGA